AATCCCAGCTACTCAGGAGGCTGAGGTAGGAGAATTGCCTGAACCCAGGAGGCGGAGGTTGCAGTGAGCTGAGATTGCGCCATTGCACTCCAGCCTGGGTAATATGAGTGAAACTCCGTCTCAAAAAAAAAAAAAAAATCAGGGTCTTTGGTTGGGCATGGTGGCTCATGCCTATAATCTCAGCAGTTTGGGAGGCTGAGGCAGGCAGATCATTTGAGCTCAGGAGTTCAAGACCAGCCTGACCAACATGGCGAAACCAACAAAAATCAGCTGGTCTTGGTAGTGAGTTCCTGTAATCCTAGCTACTCAGGAGGCTGAGGCAGGAGAATTGCTTGAACCCAGGAGGTGGAGGTTGCAATGAGCCAAGACCACGCCATAGCGCTCCAGCCTGGGAACAGAGTGAGACTCTGTCTCAAAAAATAAATAAATAAATCAGGGTCTTGGGCTGGGCACAGTGGCTCATGCCTGTAATCCCAGCAGTTTGGTTGGGAGGCTGAGGCAGGCAGATCTTTTGAGCTCAGGAGTTCAAGACCAGCCTGACCAACATGGCTAAACTCACAAAAATCAGCTGGTCATGGTAGCGCATTCCTGTAATCCCCAGCTACTCAGGAGGCTGAGGCAGGAGAATCACTTGAACCCAGGAGGTGGAGGCTGTGGTAAGCCGATATCATGTCATTGCACTCTTGTCTGGTTGATAGAGCCAGATTCTTTATCAAAAAAAACAAAAAACAAACAAACAAAAACAACAACTGGGTACTGATTAGGATGAGACATAGGAGCATTTAAAGAGATACTCACTCCTAGGTGCCGACTTATGCTTGGAGAAACCTGAGAGTGAGTGCCCCCAGTTGTGCCCTGGGTGTCCCCATATGTCTCTCCCTAATCCCAAGTAAAATTAGCCTTTCTTTTCATGGGGGCTGAGGCCTAGCCTTCTAGTACCTTTTCCTTATAGACCTAGACTATTCCAGTACCCACAGATTCTGAAATGAGACTTTTTTTTCTTTTTTTCCTAAATCCAGGCTCAAGTGCGGTGGTTTGACCACAGCTCACTGCAGCCTTAATCTCACGGGCTCAAGAGATCCTCCCACCTCCCTCAGCCTTCCAAGTAGTTGGGATCACAGACATGCACGACTGTGCCTGGCTAATTAAAAAAAAATTTTTTTGGGGGGGTAGAGATAGGAGTCTTGCTATGTTGCTCAGGCTGGTCTTGAACTTCCGGACTCAAGTGATCCTCCCACCTCAGCAAGATCTTTGTTCAAGTTTTATCTTCACCACTTCTTTGACCTCTCTGAATGTCAGCTCTATAGTCTGTTCTCATCTGTACAGGAGGATGACAAGATCTGCCCCTCTGGATCTTCGAAAATACTACATGAGAGAATAGTGAGCATGCATGAATGGTATTACTACTGCGAGTAATTAACAGAATTCAAAAATATAAAACACTCTTTTAGGTACTTCCTGGAGACTAAAGGAATAGGCTCAAAGCTAGAATATGAGGATTTAGGGAAACTAAGAGGAAGAATTTCCTGACCATGGTCCTTAAGAGAAGTGTGGAATTATTTTTGAAGAACTTTAAGTACAAAAGCACTTCTCATCTGCCAGGGATGGTTTGAACATAGTCCTACTTGAAGGGAGATGTGGCAAACAAGCTCATTTGTGGTTCTCTCTAGTAAAGGAATAAATAGGATTGTTAAGGAAATCCCCAAGGGCTTAAAAAAAAAAAAGCAGTGTTGACATTAATACGAAACACTAAGTTAATACAAAATAGTTGCACTAAAAGAGCCAACTAATTTAAGGAAGACATCAACAGAAGGGCCACAGAAAAATTTCGTCATTTAGAGTATCATACAAACAAAGAGAAGAGGAAAAGAATTCCAAAGTTTGTCTCCTTGTCTTCAATGGGGAGGACCGGTATTCAATCTATCTGGAATAATTTCTACGATGTGACTTTTAAATCCCCCCACTGGCAACTTACGAGCTTAATTCAGAATTTCTTCCTTCTCTCATTTCTGCATCTTTTGCTGCAGTCTAAGTCTATTTTCTTTAATTCTGTGCTCAATGAAAATAGCCAACATGAGGTTACTTCCTCCCAGGGGCTTGCTTTACTTAAAGTGAGTCACTGGTCTTTTGCCTAGGATTAAGAAGATTTCAGTCTCCTCCTTTCTTTAGTTCCTTTTTCCTGAGTAACATCAGTAAGTTGTCTGTAGCCCTCAGGACCCAGCCACGTGCGGGGCAAGAGGAACAGGGTTCACAACATTGTGCAGGACTATTACTCACTTTGCTTTAGAGATGAATTTGTAAGTGTCATTCCAGTAAGCCAGAAGATCCGTTGCCTCTTCATCATATACCCGAATGTTATGATACTCAAAGACTCCTGGGAAGAAGTTATCTATCTCTCGAGTGACATTCAAGATATACCGTACCCTGCAAGGAAATCAAGGGAGAATATATACTCTACTACTCAGGCTAAATCCAATTCGAAGCACTGTTTTTCCTTACTTAAAACTTGTTTACTCCATAGGTTGAAATTAAATACAAAAATAATAAAGAAAGCTAAAAAAACTAAGAGGTTATATTTATTTATTAGAGAAATTATACAACAGGGTTCCTGGGCATACCTGGGCATCAGGGAGTTATTAAGCAAAAAGTTATCCACTATGTTCAATATCTAAATTCTGTTTTCAGTATATGTAGTTATGCAATCTCACCTTTGATAATCTTCTGAAAATATACTCTCATTTTACTCCAAAGAATCAATTTGCAGCTATAATCAGACACTTTCTCTGTTATTAAAATTATCAGCAATATAATTTATTATCTGAAAGTCACCTGTATAAAATCACACTACTGACATGGACCCCAAGAAAAAAAACAGCGAACGAATAACAATTTCTTCCTATTTTTCTAAGTGCCAGATTGTTAGGTTTTGTGCTATTACTCTTGCTAAACTACATAAAAGGCAAATGAGGCCAGAACGGGAAGAGTCAGAGAAAAACTGGACTTAAAACTCCCTTAAACTCATACTTGCAGAAGAATTTCTCTATCAAAACAGTCTTCTGTTATCTCTCTCACTGTAAAATCTCAACACATGCCTGAGTTTCATTTACCAAATGCTATCTTTTCTTAATGCTGTGTGGACTCAGACATAGCTGGATGTCTAAGTTTACTCCAACAATACAACATGGACTTACTCATTTCTCTCTGAGATGCTGCTTCCTTCTCTGAACAAATGTGAAGTTCTATAAACACAAACTCTGAAATTGATGAAATGAATATAGAAAAAGAATGCAGCCATAGCTAACCAAATCTGTGGTTAAGGTCAAGTGGCCAAAAATTTTCTCAGACATGAATTGAATCTGTTTTAACTTGGCATCAAAGCCCACTACTACAAAAAAAAAAAAAAATTTTTTTTTTTTAAAAATTTAGAAAGCAAGCTCAGCCGGGCGCAGCGGCTCACACCTGTAATCCCAGCACTTTGGGATGCTGAGTGGACGAATCATCTAAGGTGAGAAGTTCGAGACCAGCCTGGTCACATGGTGAAACCCCAGCCCTACTAAAAATACAAAATTAGCTGGGCGTAGTGGCACATGTCTGTAATCCCGGCTACTTGGGTGGCTGAGGCAGGAGAATCACTTGAACCTGGGAGGTGGAGGTTGTGGTGAGC